ACTATTTTCTTCAATATTTGATGATTTTATCTGTCAATGTAAGATCTTTTTTATTTTTGAGATTTTTTTATCATATTGATCAGATGATGTAAACGTGTACTAAATTTGAACTGATCAGCAAGGTTAATATAAAATATGAAATCATAAGAAAATAAAAATAATAAGGAACATGTATATTACATGTAGATTACACATTTTATATATGTACATAAAAAATAAAATATTTTTGTTTATCTGATTTGAAAGTTCAATTAGAATGTTACATCAGCGCAGTTGATACAATTATATAACGCTAATGAACATTGCCCGCAATGATCAGTAAACAGATCCGTTTTTAGAATTGTGTAAGACAAGATATGCGATAACATTTTTTGTGATTTGTTTCAAAGTAAAACGCATTCGGCGTTTATAAAAGTCTGCGTTATTCCGATCGCGAAAGAATTTCTTGCAATGAGATTGACTTATTATGCAGTCCTGCGAGGCCCTCAGAAAAAAACGGTGTTACAAAGGAATATTGTACCCCGTCACGTATGTGTCGTATCGATCGAACTTCTCAACACCATGGTGAGTGTGTCAGTGCACGCGTGTTAAAGTGCGCAACCTATGCATTTCGTGTAGGTACATATGAGTAGGTACGCATATGAGTAAACGTAACTCACAGCATATGTCACGCGCATTTGCGATTCTCATCGATGATGATGTAACGATCGCGAGAAAAAAGAAAGAATTTCTTCGTCCAATAAAGAATCTTCGTTAAACGTTTGATTTATTTGTTCACACTCTAAAAAATATTAGTGTGGACTTAACATCATGGATTTTAAATCTACATCATGATGATGTAATTGATTTAAAATTCATGGTGTTATAAATTCACACCATGTTGATATTGACAACACGTTGAGAATTGTATATTAGATGGTATTAAGTCCACGCTGATATTTTGAGCATAAAAACTGAAAACAGACGCGCTTACTTTTAGCACATACTGATGAGAATTGTATGATCGCATTCAGCGTCAAATGTGAGATACGTCTCTGACAACATTTTTATCTCGTGTATACGGTACATATGATTTTGTATCGAAAACATGTGTAACATACCGGACACGTGACTGGTGAATGAGCTTGTGAGAGAATGAATCCCAGTTCATGAATAGATTATTATGATTTTACATCGACACTCCCCTTTGCAACGAATGCGTCATACTCTGTGAAACTGTCCAGTGGTCATTCTCCATTACGATTACGAATGGATACTTTTTGCAATATATATTAATTTGATGTAAAAGATTTGCACCAACATTTATCATGGAATGTTAACTCATTAAATATGATTAAAAATTAAATTATCAAAGCAATTTTTATTAAGCAAAGTAGTTTCTGTTGATTGCAATATACTTTTTCATTTTTTAAAAATCTATCTTTTGAAAAAAACTCTGTATGCCAAAATCTTTAAATTGGATTTCAATAAAAATTTTTTTTATACATTATCAATCTAATACGCGAAAAACAACATAATTACAGTATTTTTTTACATTTGTGTATCTTTAAATAAATAAAAATAAAAATTAATTTTTGTATAATACAATAAATAATTTCGAAAAATGAACAAAAAATATTAAAGTAAAAATTTTAATTATAGTTTTATAATTAATTAACTTTTACATTTATACCAATTGAATCGTGAGAGAATTGAACAGTAATAGGATCTCTTCGCCATACCATCAGTATTTGTGCAGTTCGAGATAATGAAAGGAGTCAATCAACTCTCGCTGGCGCGGAACTAGTTAACCGATGTTACTAACGATTTCATTTCTACACTCTCAGCGAGCGCTTAATTGAACTTTACAGGACTAACCGCTTGTTTGAAGACTTCGTCGATCAATTGCATGATAATGGCGGTGTATGTAATTAGGTATCGGAAATCCACACCTAATTATGGATTCAATTGTCTTCAGATCAGACGATTTAATCTTGGGAAACGAAGGTGTTATATCGTGTTAATATTAATAAATGCATAGTTATTAAAAATATATAAAACGTGTAATTATGAAAAAATATTTTATTTGCTTCACGAATCCTTAAAGTTTCACAAAGTTCCATATTTCCTTGTTAATTATTACAACATAATTTTTTTATAAAACCAGATGTAAATATAAAAGACAATCGATTTTAATTGCATTTCAGCCACCTACTTATTTTTTTTTCGTCACATTTTTTTCTATAAATTCAAAACTATATCTATTTATTTCAATGCAGAAGTATATAAAAATTCAAAACAAATAGCTCTCTCTCTCTTTGATAATTTAATAACTTATACACTTAATAGTATTTTGACTCATAGATAGTTTCGGAACAACAAAACATATTTTAGAGTATTCCTTTTTTATTATAAAAAATATTAAATTCCTTGTTTAAAAAATTAATATTTATTAATAATCTATTTTTATATTATATATATATAATAATTTGATGATTTTATATTAATAATTAAAAATAAAAGAAAATTGGAAAATAACTCACCCGCGGCATCTTTAAAGCGTGTCTCGATACTCTCGATGTTCGAATTGGCGTCGCGATGCTTTCCCGCAAAAAGGACTGCAAGCGAGCGTTTTATTTGGCGACGAAGGAAGACGGTTGGCGGCGGTACGGTTTTCTCAGGGCTTCTCGACTGCAACCCTAACAGCGGGGGTGCGATCGCTTGCGTTCGCCACGAACGGTGGGACTTCACTGAGGCGGCGTCGATGGATCGGCGTCGCGACGCTTCTGCCGTTTTGTTCCTGAGGATCCCACCGCGGGTGGCGGGATCGCGTGCCGTGCACGGCGTCTGAACGCGGTTCCCGTTTGCGCCGCAAGTCAACGGGGACGGGGGTGCCGTATACGAGGGTGTCTCAACACACGTACCCTCCCACGAGAGCGGCAACATAGAACGTGGTGTGAATATTGTGAGCCGGGAGAAACGAAATTTGCTACCTGATTATGTGTAAATGTGAAGAGAATGTTCAATTTGATATCTTATCAATTTTTCATTCAACGTTTGTTATATTAAAAATATATATAATTTTCTTTTATCTAAAATACAAGAAAGGCTAAGGGATTGAGGCAACAAATGAAAAGAATTTTAATAAATATTTAGAGAGAAAATATATTTATATTAGGTGTTGGAATTAATTCGTAGCGTTTTACAAGTGATGGGAAGTACTTTCATTAATGTATTTTTTAATGCTCATGTGAAATAAATAACATTCTTTCATTAAAAACGCTACGAATTAATTCCAACACCTAATATATTTAGTATATTATATTTTATTACGTTTGATTGTAACACACACAGAATATAATAATTTTTATATAATCATTGAAGATACATAATTAGTGCTAATTAATAATAATAACAATTTAATGTATAATAATTAACTTAAAATCTAATTTTGCTTGCCGCTGAACAGAATTACACCTTTTTCTCGCTTTGTTCTTTTTTTTCAATATGGTTCAAAGAATTATCTTTTAATGGTTTTATAAAATCGTCTGATTCCAAAGTATAAGAAATAAATATTGGAAATGTCCTCGATAATTGATGAACAGGCAATCTTTCTATCTTGTGGATACCGCTTGTCGTGCTTGCCTATTCGAACTAGCCGATCAAAACTTTCTTTTCATGTAATTGCCCGAAGGAACGACGGATATCGTTTCGCATGTTCGACCACGTAATTATTTCCTGCACGCAGGGAAAATATATTTCTTTCGTACTCGTCGATGGAGGCAATCCGCGGATGGTACACCCTCCTTCCGGGGTAGTTGGCTCCTATTATGCTTTTCCAATCTGGAGAGTCGTCCCCGCGCCTTTCCATGTGGAACTCAATGCGAGCTTATCGCTGCGGTCACGTTAGTTTGCTTTCGGAATTTGGCCCACAAGGGATATATAGGTTACATGGTACCGCGCATTCGGAAACGATAAACCTCCTTTCCCCCGCGCAATCCTTACAAAATTGTGTCTTCAATTCGTGAAATGAATTGTACTAACTTTACCATTAGCCCTCAACTACGGATTAGGAAAATTAGTTTTTTTATTTTCAGAATCGACTTTTTTTTAAAACTAAATTCATGTAAATATTTCTGTTCTACATTTTTATTTTATTTCTTTCCGATTACATTATTAATTAAGGGATGATTTATGTGTAGAAAGATTTATTGCATTATCACATGCGCGAAGTTAAGCTTATCTTCGCCTAATTATGTGAAGCAGAGACCGAACATTGTAGTAAATTAGAAAAATATGCTGTTAATTGTTGGCGTTTATATTTTTATTACTTTTATCAGAAATAAAAAGCAAAACGGAGGAGGATAGATTTACTATCGCAGAAGCCTCTATTTCTTGTCACGAGGCGTTTCCATTTCTGTCAGTATTATCGGGACACGCGAAGGGTTAACGTCCTAAATTACAATGGGGGTAAATCTATCTGCAGATTTAATGTGCGGACGGCAGTGTCGAAAATTTGTACAACACACTGCTCTCCGGCTAACGAGACAATGCAGATTATGAAATGTATTTAAGAAGCCGAATTTGAAGCGGGTGTCGATAGATACAGAAGTACGTATCGTTAATCTTTCTATTGAATTATATATGACTTTATCACATTACTACACACGATAGAGTTAATAATATTAACTCGAGAATAATCACCTGAGTGTTTTAGCACGTCACCACGGTGAGAAAATATGAATTGTTGTAAGATTATTGAAAAAGCGTATTAGATAGATTAATTAAAGAAACGTTATATTAATAAAAATTTTTTTCAGAAATATTCTTATAATAAGCTATTTAACATGTTTATTCTATTTAAAATCTGTTTGGTTGCTATAGGTACTTAATTTTTTCAGGAAATTTTGATTAAATCTATGTTTATGTTTTCAAATATGTTAATAACAATGATTTTTTTATTTAAAACATCCTTGGTGATAGTTTACATAAAAGAAAAAAATCAGACGACTATTCTCGAGTTAAAAAAAAACAATTCAAGCGATTACATATTTAAACATGGGAATCGAGATTAAGTACTAGTGCGAAATACGTTTGTAAGCCATTAAAATAACCCTCTCGAGGTGGGCCGCCCGTAAACGAGAACTCTGTAGTGGAGTCCTCGTGAGTACTTCGACCTGAACTTGAGTTTGACGAAGTTGTAGCCGATTCCGCCGGCGGTGACCCACGCCGCGCCGTTATCTTCATCGGAGAGCGAGTTGATACGTATGCACGTGATTCTCGCGTCAGTCGGTCCATAATCCGCCTCTACCTCCTAGTTACAATCAAGAAACCTTTGTGAGTGGATTAGGATAACTGTTTATGAGTGGATCGAAATTCAAAAGAGGTTCATGTGCGATTAACAAGACCCGGTTTGTGATAATTGTAAACGCACTTGATAACCACCGATTCGATACGGTCTTCTGACCGCATATTCCCAAATCAGCTCGTCGTCGACACCTTCTTGACACTCCCAGACTTCCTGTGTCGTCGCAAGCGAAACGGCGCAGAGAAGCAGAAAAGCTGAGAATTGAAACCGCATGTCTCTTCTCGATCCTTGATCTCCTTCGATGATGAATGATGCGCCACGGGAAGAGAATACCAATCATTAACGAATAGAGATATCGAAGAAAAAAATAAAAGAAAAAGAAAAAAATAGAACATACGATAAAAGTGTGTTCTTCACTCTACACGATATTTTCGGATATTTTCGTGGGAAGACGACAGTTTATTGTCAAGCGACCGGGTACTCCGGATAGCACTAACCGAACGAACGATATTGATAGCCGATACATCGATACCCACCGAAAGTATCCCCTTCTGGAATACAATATTTACTCGTTGCTTTGTAGCCGTGGAGATTAGATACAATGTCGGTATCGTATATCCGCCTGCCCGTGTTGTTCCGAGAAGAGCGGGCGGATAATCGACGAGTCTGGTCTCTTCTCTGTTACGCAACTTACATCAAATCGTATATCATGTGTATTATGGATCCTGGTAACGAGTGTTCAAAAACGATTGAGCTTTAAAAACCACGAAAGAAACGAGTTACGCGTCTACAGATAAAAATATTTTGTTGAATTAATTGATATTCTAATAGATTTTATCAAGGAATTTAATCAAGGAAATTCTGAATGTTAGTTATCTCAACTAGAATTCTAAGATTTAACCAAAATTCTAGATTGTTCATTTTCTACCAGAATTTCAATTAATTTAATCAAACATTTTTGTCCATGCACGGTTAAATTCATAATGTCAAGTTATATCCAATTGGAATTATTTTTAATCATTTCTATTATTCACCATTACTACTCAATATAACGTTAATTTTACTAAAACAATGAAATTAAATAATTTAACTCAAGAAAATATATTAAATTTGACTCAATTTTTTTTTATTATTTATTAAGTACATACGTTAATATGAACATTATTTACTTCGAAATTAATCATAGAAATAAATTGATTTACATTTTAATACTTATGAAAGTTAATTAACTTAAGAGATTTGGTTACATTACATCTTTAACGTCTAGCATGATTAACGAGTTAAATCCATTTCTATTATTAGATAGATTGATTTTTATCTCAATTTAACTTTGTATCTTGTTCTAATTTTAAGAAAATTTTAAGAAGATAAAAATAAAGAGTAGATTAACTCTAATCGGTATTTGTTTCGAAATTTTTTTAACTAGTATTTGCGAATCTACTTATAAAATTAACATATCTCTAAAATTAACATAAATTATTGAACGATTTTGAAGGTTAAAATTTGAGGAATAAAATTATGCAATTAAAATTATATAAGGTTGTGAAAAACATTTGGTATAAATAATTTTTTATAACACAATTGAAGAAAAAGTTCGGGTCCACTGGATTCGCGAATATCGATTAGGGTTAAACCGAGATGAAAGTTAATATTTATTGAACATTAGAAACATGAACATTAGATGGATTCCATGTTACCTGCAAATTTTCATCATTCAACTCTCTGAGAATTCAAAGCAAACTGTCAAACTGTCACGCGACTTATGAATCGTTAGTTGAAATCCTAGGACTTAAAAGGAAATAAGAGAATTCTGTCTGTGAATATCTTTATGTTGCTTCTTCACAAGAAAATTAATAAATTTATGTTTTTCTTCCAAGAATGTTTTATATTTCCGTAATTATTTGAACAAGAAAAGGCACGATGTTCTTTGATTAGACAGTATTCTGTTTTTTATTTATTTATTTTTTTTTTATCGAATTTCTTGGTACTTCCAAGTATATGACTGCAAACGATACTGTGTAATTATTAATCAGCATCACATATCAAAATCAACTTTCCCAACCTTGACCTCGCTGACAACATCATTCTACAACGGGTATCTCACTTATATTTACTCTGTTTTTATGTAAAATCTAGCTTTATCTGCTCGACGAATTTGCGAAGCTATACGGGAATTGACTCCGACTATTATAAACCTGTACGTTCATTGTATACAAAATTAATTACTGAACTACTATATATAAATAATATAATACAGATAATAATTAGGAGTTTAAGAATATATCATGTACTTATAGTCTCTGCAAAAAGTAACTGTAACTGAAATTGAAAATTTTCCGTATAAAAATGAATGATGTATACATATGAAGTTCAATATAATTAATATATATTGAACAATTTTATATTTTAAATTAAAATTTTTTTTATTTTATCTTAATTATTTTTTTAAATATGTATTTACTTCTTATTGAAATAATTTTTTATCTAGATTCTAAATCAAAATTTTTGTTTTACTTTCATATATTATAAAAAAAATCTGAATTTTTAAATATTTGTTTTATTTTGTTAAAAAATATTGTACATATAATATATTCTTAAAATCAATTACTAAATTAATCATATCGCACTATTCCTTCCTTGACGATCAATCATGATTCATGGAGTCAAATAGGAATGATTCATAATGTGCCGCAAGAAACGAGAAGCTAGTATGAGAAGAATTTTTCGATAATTTGCAATAAAGAAGAGAAGCAAAATATCCGGCTAATTACTAACAACTTAGCTATTTTCTATAATCTTTTAGTAACAAGCATTTCAAAACTCTTTTTAAAATGTCTTATTAATGTACCCTTTGCGTTTCAAATAATGTTTCATAAAATGATTTAAAAGTGGATCTGTCTGACATAAAATCAATGCTGATTGGCCATATTTTGCATAGAGCGTGTCTCTGAAGTAACAAGTGCCTCTTTTTGGTCTAAACGGCGTGAAAAGCGTAGTTTCAAGCGAAAGAAGAAAAGGAATATTGAATTGTAAAATAATATTGCAACCAGTGAATAATAGTGAGAGGTAAATGACTGGCAGTAACCAGACCATCGCTATGTCAACCAGGTGAATCGGTTCCCACAACGCCGTGCCTGGAACCACGCGGCTCACATTGCCTAAGGAAATGACTTTATTTCTTGTTCTCTCTCCACGCCTCTAAACCAAGTTAGCAACTTTTAAGTCCTTTTACTTTGAATTTCATTATAACGAAATCGACTCGGATTATCGTTATTATCGTTATTATATCGAAGGCAAGCGTCATCGTTATTGCGTTATTCAGAATATTATGTACATCATCTTAAATAGAAACGGAAGGAAGCGTCGCTACCTCTGTGAATGAGAGCTCGGATAAGTTTATGGGTAAGATAGACGCTCTTATCGCGTGCCTTTCCTGAAGGAAAGTAAAAAATGAGGGAAGGGTACTGGCGTATATTGATTTATTTTACTAGCCGTTGTCAAGGAACTGCATTTCAATATTATGGCATGATAAGGTTGCGTTACACACTTTATTGCCACCATTGTCCAAATCTTCGACTCACGTCCTTGTTCAGTGAAAAAAGGAACGGAGTCGATTTGTGACTCTCATTTCCGTCTTCGTTTGTAATGAAAGATGCAAGTTCATCAGAAAGTGAACACTTTATGAGGTATCTCTTATTTTACGCAATAGAATGGCTGGAATATATAAATAAAATATCTGGTGAAATATTCGCTTTCTAAAATAATCTTCTCTTAACTTAGACTTATCTAAAAATACTTTTATATTTACCTAAAAATATTAGAATAGGTGAGAAATATAATAAATGTTATTATTCATTTACCTTGCAGAAGTAATCATCAAAATATATCATCATAAATAACGAGAGAAGTTGAAATTGAGTCATCTTCGCGACAGCTCGCATTGACTTTTGAAGATAGATAAATTTCATTTTTGAAGATATTAGGTGTTGGAATTAATTCGTAGCGTTTTTAAATGAAAGAATGTTATTTATTTCACATGAGCATTAAAAAATACATTAATGAAAGTACTTCCCATCACTTGTAAAACGCTACGAATTAATTCCAACACCTAATAATTCTGTATATTTCACGAAATGTTTACTGTCAATTACTGTCAGTTTACTGTTCTTATATTTAATCGTCAGTCACGTTCTCGGCGTATTTTCATCTCTAACATGATTTTTTTATGGCGAGGCACATGGAGGAATTATCAGTGATAAAACTATCGCCAGACAGTTTTTGTATATCGCGTCTTATCAGGAATTTTTCCGTTAATTCGCGAACATTTCCATTCGTTGGTTTCTTTTTTATTATCGCTGGAAAATCAATATTTCAGATCACTTTTAGTTTTAGATTTTAGAATTAGATTCTCGAGATTAGATGTTATTCGGATATATATTATGTGATATGTTGAATGTAGAAGTGCGAAAAATAATTATGTTTAAAAATAGTTATATTTTTTATTAACAGATTTGATCAGTTTGAATTTTTCTGTTAATTTGCGAACACATTTTCAAAATTATTGAATTATTTTTTAGCCAGATAAGATTATTAATTTCCAATTTGTATAGTAAAAATTGACGTATGTAATAAAAAAACAATGTAACATGATCGTAATCCCACGTGATTAATTATATATTATATTAATCGAACCGAAGGCGATTAAAGGTTAATTTGATAGTAAAATTGATTTTGCTTAATGACGTTGACGCGAATATTTGTCTACTTGCAAAAAGAAGTGGGTAAGTTTTAAAGAAGGAAGGAAAGGAGAGATGAAAAAAGAGAAGATAGACAGATAATACCGGCGAACCGACTTTTCTATTCTCTCTCTCTCTCTCTCTCTCTCTCTCTCTCTCTCTCTCTCTCTCTCTCTCTCTCTCTCTCTCTCTCTTTCTCTCTACGAACCGACGACCCCGAGCTGTCAAAGTCCGTCAGCCAGTGTTGCCCCCGGGTCATTTCATGTACAGCGCGAGGCATTATTTACTGCTTCACGCGTACAATCGCGTCGTGAGGAGATTATAAGTTCCATCAGCCAACCAGCAACACGTTGGTGAAACGCCCTCGTGTGCAAGATGCATTACGCACGATGCGTTACCTCGTTAGTACGAACAAACAATGATTTCAGCGAACGATCGATCTGATCGACGATATGATCATATACGATATGATACACTGGTCATTACTCCTTCGTTATAACATATTTATCAGTGCAAGTAAATCTTATAGTTTAAAAATATATGACAAAAAAAATAATGGATTTTGCTTACATAAATTTTTAATTTTGATCCTCTATACTTCGGTTTTTTTTTTATATCAATTTCAATTGATTTTCGTTGATTAATATAATTTTAATAGACAAATGAGGATAAGAGATATATGTGTATTTGTGGAGTTTATTGCAATACGAATGCAATAGATCGTATAGAAATATATTAAAATATTTAAATATATTAAAACACACACACACACGCACGCACGCACGCACGCATATATATATAATTAATTGATATGAATGCTTAATTTATTAAGGAAAATATAATTTAATGTTTTTTTAAAAATATTTATTAACAAAAGATTGACAATATGGATTATATTATCAGAAATAATATAGATTATATCTTGAAGTTTTTCGTAGAATTCTCTTTAAAGCTAAATTTTCGAAATAATTCGAAAATTACGCGATAAAATAGATTAAACGATTCAGACAAACTTATATTGTTCGTCAATTTTTCCAATTAATATATTTCATGCTTGACCCCAAGGAACATTCGAAAAGTTTCATCAAGATTAAAGAAAATAATAAATAATCATTGGTTTTATTATAAAGCTAAGATACGTTTCAGCTGCGAGAATCACTAAATCTGATTTATTAGGTGTTGGAATTAATTCGTAGCGTTTTTAATGAAAGAATGTTATTTATTTCACATGAGCATTAAAAAATACATTAATGAAAGTACTTCCCATCACTTGTAAAACGCTACGAATTAATTCCAACACCTAATAATATAAAAAAATCGAAACGTTTCATAAAATTATCAATATAAATACCTCGTGTTTTTTCCATATAAAAGAGAGAAATGATATCAGAAGGGTCACTTCCATCAATTACGCGCTGGTATTTACAAAACATGTACCAAGCAATCGTATAATTGTAAGCGAGTACGCTCTTACTCGGCAAGCAAAAGCAATGATATCGCCAGTGCCTATTGATCTGAGTATACGATAGTTTGTAAATAATCCTCAGCGATTGTATAAATCTTTCGCTATTACATATTCGTGAACAATTTATGATTGATCTTAATAATGATGGAAAATCGAAGATTAATCTTCTCTCTAAAATATATCGCTAGTTCACACATTGCATGGATGATAAGCCGTCATTTTTTTTTAAATATGAAATCTCGCAATGACCTCTTAACGTCTAAAGCAAGCGATTAGCAACGATTCGAGTAAATTGAATCAAAGAGAAACCTCTCGCGATCGCGATTATGATAAAATATAGCAATGAAGGTAAGATTAGATTTAACCGGCTTCTCGAAGAATCGACTTCCTTTTCCCCCTTTTCTCATTATTGTACGAATCGTCGCTGTGCCAGTCTGCAGGGAAAGATAGGAACATATTAATCACACGCAACGCAAGTCTTTAGTACAATCAGTACTGATAGCGTGCAACTTGCCGAGAGCATGTGTTTTTCATCAGTGATCTCCGATCGCGCTTCTCTCCCATACGTTCCTCCAATCGAGAGCAAATGGAAGAGGCTCGTGTGGCAACGCACATTTCGCTGTATTTCTTCTTTTTTTTTCGCATTTTTCTTTTTTAAACCGATTACAAGCCGAACTTGACCTTTGCACCTATTTTTAACTCGCTCACTTTCGTTAAAATCCGTGAACAAACCGGCGATTGCTGGTAGTGCGATAGTCTCGCAAATGGTACGGTCCTCCATTCACTCCCTCTTAGACACGAATCAGGGAGAACGCGCATTTGCCATCCAAGCAGAGCAACAAGTCACGATAACGTCAAAATGACGTTACAATTAATCGTTACTGATTGAAAAGTGACTCTTAGTAATTGGAGCCATTTTGATGTCATGATGACTCGTGTTTTGCATGGACAAGTCCTTATTTTCTAATTCTCGAATTGACACACAATAATCGTGTCTCTTTCCTCTTCTCTTCAGCAAAATAGTACTGCTACATATTTATACGTTACAATCGTTAATTAGTAAGTAAGTAAAATTAAATTATATACACGAATACATGTACACTCTCTCTTTCACATTCTATGCGTGGAATCGTATTGTTAGTCTCATATTCATTGATATGTTACAACACGACGCAAGGTAATGTAACAAAGGAATATGTAGCTTATTGCCGATTAGACTTTACCGATCAGTCGCGTGTGAAATAGATACACTGTTCTCCAATAAATAATATCACACTCTACACAATTACTCACGAAACAGAAATAAGTACGATCTCCGGGATTCGTCTGCGGATCTCCTCTTTGGCACATTCGTTTCTTGGAGACGCGATCAACGTTGAGATTCAGATACACTCCAACTCTTGCATCACGAATTAAGGATCAATTGTGAGTTCTTTATGATCCTCGCAATGTTTGAAGGACAGCTGCATAGGATAGTAGGCGAAATAGAAGAGATCTCAGTATAGATACGAGAAAAACTTCCGCTTTAAAGATGAATCCTATTGCACTACCGCCAGGGGTGGGTTATGCTGCGTTCTGATGACCTCTGCGACGCGCCTGAACGGTAATTGGAGGTGATAGTAGGCACAGTAGGGCAACGGGTCCCAATACACGAAAAGGGATTCCCTCTTGTCCAGCACTGTGCCCAGAAGATGGGGCGCGGTCTCGCTGGTTGATTGTTTGAGGGCACTCACCACGGTATCGGACAGCAACTGTCGGCTCGACGTACCTACCAACGTTGAATTCTGCCTGGAGAAGTGGCGGCAGGGTTTCCACACCAGACGCGGATGTATCCCTGTGCAACAAATGTAGGGCAGACTCACGCCTACCCGGCAGCCGATGGACATCAGCTCACCCGTTTCCTCAGCCATCGCCAATCGGAAGCTCATGTGGCCGTTGATTCTGTCACTGAAGGAACGGGCGAAAAACTGTTCAAGCCATCTTATAATCTCGGGACGTTCTTCTGGTATGAGGCCCCGATCTTCATCCACTCGGCAGGTCACGTTCGTCACTATCCGTGACTCTTTCAGCGTGGTGCAAGTGATGAAGTGATCTCCACCGGGATCGCGGATTACCACCCACGGTCGCCTCTCGCTGATCTCGTGTTGATTTCGAAACTCTCTGAAGGTGGGTGGTAGCAAGATCTTGGCGCGATCACGCATCCCTGCGGGACCGGCAGCTAGCATCATGTCCCTGCCGTTGCGGAACGTGTTTCGTTCATAGAGCGCCGACAGGTCCTGCATTGATCGCAACAGAAAGTGCTGTGGGATCGTAAGACCGAGCATGCGACAGCGTCGAAGTAGCTCCAACGGGTCGTCCAGCGCGGTCACCTCACTGGCATCGGGCACGAAACACTCGCAACCCATGGTCTCCAGATGCGGTTTCGCCAAGGCGTCGTAGTATGCAGTATTGGTAGCACTCACCGGTATATAGTAGGCCACACGTTCGCACTGGACGATATCCCGTAACGCCTTTATATATTCGACAACGTTCCTGGGCCCAGGCTGCGGTATCGTGTAGTACTTGGAGCAGGCGGTGGAGAATCTGGCTAGACCGAACAGGCCCTCGAGATCACACACTATCACCCGGGCGCCCGCCTTATAGAAGTTACGTGCAAGATGCACCGCCTGCACTGTGCTACCACCGCTGATCAACACGCACCGCTTGTTGCGTGATCTCTCATACGCCGGGGTATGCAGAACCATGATGAACCATTTGAAAACGGTCAGTGGCAGTTGCAGAATCACCCAGAACAGGCAGATCCAAGCAGATGCCCAGAGAGCAGGAGCCCAGATCGCGTAGCCAATGACATTAAAGATACTTCGAAATAGACTCAACAGAAGTCCGAAGTACCAAAACAAGATCCTCGAGAGAATGGAATCGTTGTTCCTCTCGACGTTCCGACTATCTGCTGCTAGCGTATCCTGTTGATGATAATGTTGCTGTTGTCGTTTCTGCTGTCGTCTCTGAGAGAGTATCACCGTTGACATACTCGAGAGCGATGACGCCCGGGAAAGATTGTTCGGTGCGTGGGACGTCGACACGACCACGTTTGACGACGTACGCTTCAACATGGACACAGGTGATATTCGGGGTGGCGATGTGGATAACGGTGTACCGGGTAGCGTCGGCGACACGCTGCTATTACGCGACATCGGCGGGCTGGAAGACCATAATCTGGAGCTCTCGCTCGAGCAGGCGGGCATCTTTGTATTTCCTGTTTAATGTTTGTTACTTTCGGAACCTTGTCCAAAAAGATTATGAATTGAGGAGCCTAGCTGATCGGTAGAAATCCTTATATTCAGGATTCATACCTTAGTCTTGGGAAATAACCGTCGGTTATTTCAGCGAGAGAAGAGAAAGATGAGATGCAAGATAGTTCTTCCCGAAGGTCGATTGTACTTTAATCACGGATAGAAAAAAATGATCTCTCTCTTTTTCAGATGGGACAATAAAAGCGACCAGATGACACAACATACACGAAAATTAGAGCGATGCTGTTGCTGACATCAATCGCGGAGAAGATACTCAGGACTTATTCCCGTCCTTAATTGTCGGTTTGCACACGCAGCTTTAACTGAAGCTGGGCCTCGAGTATCCCGGTCTCTTATGAAGTCTGCATCTCCGACGTACTATGAACCGGAGCCTTATCTAATCGTTGCGCCTCAGACACCGCAATGAAAAGAAAGAAGTCACAAAATATGTCGTGTCTGCTCTCGCTTTTCTCCCCTCTTCCTTCTTTTTTATTTCCTTTGATCAAATTACTCGAAGAGGAACGAAGAGGAAAAGAGACAGAGGGTCGCAAGAAAAACTCTTGATGAAAAAATCGATTCATATATCAGCAAGCAATCTAACCGATTCAAACATCAAGAGAGTAGAATATGCCATTATGTTAGATCATGGCATGTGTAAATGGCATTATATTTTATTGGATTGTTATTGCATTATATTGGATTGGATCGTCCTCTGCCACGAATTTGGATAATCATGCAATCAATAATCTTTGTAATATATATTATAAATCTATAATCTCATTAAACTTGTTTTGATGTTACTTTTATGTCAAAATTACTGCATCTTAATTACTTGCACAATCATTGGATTATTTAATCATAATTGTTATCTTGATAAAATAAAGAATAAAAATGATAAAGTTACTTTGATTGATGAGATAATAATTAAAATATATTTGCTTTTTTTAATACGCAGTGGACGTGGCATAAAATGTTTTGAGAAGATAACCCATAATTATTTAATAAATAAACAACGCCATCTGTTGAATGAATAATGTTATAATATTATTTCATAATGTTGTAATATTAATAACCATTTATTCATTAGTATCAGCTGATATATAAAATATATATCGGTATATTACCATTTAATTGAAATGAGATCTGAAAATAGATTATATTAATTTTTTAGAATAAATTATTATGTTAATAATAACTTATAATGTTAATAATAAATAAGTTTTGTAAGTTATTATGTTAATCAAATAAAGTATACAAGAACAGAAAAATATACTCGAAATGAAATTAATCTGTGCATCGACAATTGTCGATAATTGTCAAATGAAATTTTATTTATTATATTTTTTAATAAATAAAATGTGTAAGTAAAACAAAAAATATAAAAATATTTTCATATACAAATACTTTATAAACATTCATCGTTAACCTGGGAGAGGATATCGTTGCACCCACTTTTGCTATAAAACGAAAAAAAGACATTTAAGAAATTCTTAGGAATAATGCTTTCCTTTTTGAATACACACAACTTTATTTCGTACATTTAGAATATACTTATCTTGTAAATTATATAATACGTTATGGTCTTATTTGGCTTAATGAAATACAATAATATACTGTCTTTAGAATTTGTTTGTTTTCTCTTTGCTGTTACGGCACTTGAGCCAGTACAAGTATAATCTCGACCACTATTTTCTAAACAAACGAAAGAAATTATCGATCCTGTAGAGTTTCCGTATTTTATTCGAAATTTTAGTGAGGAGATTACATTCTCGAGGAGAAAGTCCATCAAAAGGCAAGACATTGAATTGACTTTCTTAATATTAATATACATTCAGCTTTATGTGCTATTCTGTTTATTCGCGTACACTGATCGTTATAATACAAACGAAGAGATTAAGACAAAGCAAATGACAAATTCTTTTTCGAGTTAACGAAAAAGTAACAATATCCTTATATTATATTAGATGTGGTAAAAAAGAAATCCATTATTTTTCCAATAGACGCGTTTTTCACGCGTAGACGAGATACAGATTACTAAAGCCATCTATTGGAAAAATAATGGATTTCTTTTTACTACACCTAATAGTAAGAGAAGAAAGTAGTCTTGCAATTTAGCACAAAGTATCCGCAACGAAGTTTTACTTTATGACATTCGATAAATTATTATATTTCTCTTATTAATTAAATAAAGATTTCTTACAACTTTGGCCCATTCAATGTAATTATATTAATCAAAATCTTCTCTTCTACTATACAATATTATACGATTATATCAACTAACAGTCGCTCTCTCTTTAACTACATATATTTATATATTTATATATGTATAATGTAATTAGTATATATATATATATATATATATGTATGTATATATATGTATATACATGCGTGTGCATCTGTATCCCCGCATGTGCGCCGCGATCGTTATATACGCAACGCGTAACCCTTCGGGGTCAAATAGCTCAGATGCTTTTCTCCATTCTACTTATGTACAATTTCAAGTCTCTAACTGTATAACGCACAGTTTTCTTATTACACTATTCAAATCCATCTTAATGGATAGCAATCGTATGAATGAAGTGACGTTACATCATTAAGGAAAAAATTCCTCCGTATGGTATTTAAAAAAATATTGTGAAAATATAATTTGCTAATATAATGCCATTAATGAAATAATTGCTTATCGCAGATTACCATTCTTACGAAAAAATTGTACGGTTGTTATACTACATTTATCACATATATATATATATATATGAAGTGCATTAAAAGAAGATTGCGTGTATTTTTAACAAAAAAATTCTATGCTATTTCATCAGAATAATCTACACAATAAATTATTATGAATGTTTTGCGTACAATAATAAGTCAAAACCACAACATATTCGCAAAAAATTTGCGTATATATATTGTAGTATAACAACAGTACGATGTAGAATGTCTTTCAAAAGTATTACGCTTTTATTTTCCTGTAAAATTATATAAATAAACTGTATTAAAAAATCTATATGATATTTAGTAAATGTATTGTATTTATATAATAATTATAAATAATATTTTGTATTATTTAAAATAAAATTTTGTCGAATAAAAACAAATCTGTTTTATATACTTATGTATATGACTAGAAATTATAGTTATAAATCTACAATGATAATGCCATTGTGTTTAAGCTATACATATTATACTGTTCTATAACTTATATATTTCCGTACAATTTTCGCACAACTTAATTATTTATTTTATCATTTAAATCCTTTTGGATTACTATTTCTTTTTTAAAAATAACGAATATTGATGAACTATATTTCCAAAGAAGAATAATCTACATTTCTTCTCTCAGCTACTTTTACGAAAATATATGTTATCAAATCACGCATATTTCGTCTGATTTTTTCGTAACAGCCGTAAAAGTCCTACAGACTTCTCATTCAAATAGAAAACAAAATGTAAATAATTGACGATGCGTAATTCGAACTAATGTGCACAGTAACATAGATATCTTTATGCATGATAAAACGGTGATGTGTGTGCATAATTCACATGTTAGAGTGCCAACATTCTATTGCATATCATCATCTTTATCATCCACTAAATCTATTTCGACTTTCTAGTCTTTTTTACGTTCGAAGAATACTTGACAACGTTGTGCTTACAATATCTCGGTCTGCATGTCTATCAACATACAGCAGCGTAAAAAAAATCGAAATACATTCGCCTACAGTTTGTGATTGTATCATTAACTTCCTTTCTTTTATTTTTGTCTTCTATAAAATTTGTGCTTTTACGGAAGTGGAGATGTACCATTAGAGAATACAAATAGAGTTGATTGGTAATATAAATTTCACAATTTTGATCGTAAAATCGACCTTGAAATTTGTAAAACTGTTCAAATATCTCGCGTTCATCCGACTCTTTGCAAAAAACTTAAATTCTTAAAGTATTCATATTTATAACCGTTGAATATGTAGTGAACTTTATAAATTTCTCATACATAGAGACTCTAAAATTCACTTTGGAAATCAATCTCACAATTAGTTCCAGTATATAAGGATCACGGCACATTAATTTGTAAACCACAATCATTTGTATTTCACATTTATGTCGCTGCTAATGACATTAGCTGGTGGATTTTATCTATTGTTTATTATTTTTATCTATTTTATATTTGTTTAAGTGTCTTATAATTAATAACATGTTACATAGATACGGTATTGTCTATTACAAAGTTATGATTTCTATATCTTTGGATAAAAGGTCGGGAGTACATTGCAATATATATATTTTTTTGTTAAATTGTAATACAATTCTTAATAGCGATTGTATATATCGTATGCGCAATAGAAAAGTCGAACGTATACGATGTATGATAAAATAAATAGTTATGTCTGTCAGAAAGAGATACTTTCCAATTCTCTTTAAGAATAATAAAATATGATATATAAAGATAAAAGATGATATGAATAAATAAAATACATAAAATAAGTAAATAATTAAATAAACAAAATTAAAAAATAAATATTTGTGTATACAAAACAACGATCTTATATCTATACATACATATCTTTTTCTCGTTATTATATTAAATAAATTAAAAATTTTAATTGTTACTATTTTCAAATGCAATTTAACATTAAAATATTTTTTCTCATTATTGAATAAAATATGAAATTATGAACCAAAATCAATAACCAAAGTCATAAAATATCGATATAATATTAGATGTTGGAATTAATTCGTAGCGTTTTTAATGAAAGAATGTTATTTATTTCACATGAGCATTAAAAAATACATTAATGAAAGTACTTCCCATCACTTGTAAAACGCTACGAATTAATTCCAACACCTAATATAACAACATAGATTAATATTTATGAGAATCAGTAAATAAAAATAAAATCACAGATTATATACCACGTCATACTTAATTTTATATGTAATATTATGTGATATAATGATAATCAAGATATAATATTACATAATAGATTAGATATAATATAAATATTGTTATTATTTTGCGATTTAATACACGGCATTGTTGAATAATATAAATATATATAAGAATTTTAATTAAGAAAATTTGGAAAGTACATCTCACCCCTTGATGCAAATCTTTAGGGTAACATATAATTAATACTTGATTTATAATGTAACTTGATTTTTTTAAAACACAGGAATAGAGAGAGAAAAAAAT